TGCATTCAAAGTAAATCAAATGTGTCAATACGAATACATGAAATGAAATTCAGCAGGTCTTGATGACCATGTTTAAATAACTATATCCATTAAATTTCTGCCACATTATTGACTGATTAGAACAACTTATACGTTATGACTTACAGATAGGCAAATTACCCGTATTTACCGGACTCCCCTACTGACGTAATCATCCGTCTCGTGGACTCTTCAGATAACTTCGTAGAAACAGAATTTTTTGCTATGTTAAAATAGAGTAGTTACAGAAAACCTTTACCTAGAATTTTGAGTCTTTCCTTACATTGACTCCTGTCTAGTAGATGGAAATAAATAAATATACTGTTTAATAACTGAATAAAAACAGCATCTACTCCAATTTGGGTATCTATTAAAAAAATAACGTTTAAGAAAAAGTTAAAATATGTTGGGTTAATATATATATATATATATATATATATATATATATATATATATATATATATATATATATCGTGTGTGTGTGTGTGTGTATTTAGGCAGTATTTTTTCATTGATGCATGTTTCATTAAATAATATAAACAAGTTTTGTCTATTTATTTTAAGTAAATTCCTTTCATATCGTCTGATAAGCTTAATGACATTATCATTGAAAGACGAAAGAAAATCACCATATTGATGCATGTTTTTTAATCCTATCTTACCTTTCGGCTAAGCCGTTATCAAAGATGACAATTACATTTCAATATATTATACAATACACGGACAAAACAATAATGATAGTCTGTTTTTGTTGCATGAAAGATTTCCAAGCAACGACAAACTCGTGTATACGACACACATGACCACGCGAGAGTGAAAACGAGAAGTGTTAAGTATGGGAAGCCGTTGGTACAAACATCATCATTATATATATATATGTGTGTGTGTGTGTGTGTGTGTGTGTGTGTGTGTGTGTGTGTGTGTGTGTGTTGTGAAATTGAAGCCATATTTTTATTTTATAGAATGTCTATTCCGTCAATCGACGTCAGTATTCTTGCTTACTATCATAAGTAGACCGCACCAACTATTATTTTAAAAAAAATACACGCAAAAACACATCTTAAGCAGTCAAGCATGAAGTTAACAACAGCTAAAAACAACAGATTTTGAAGTTTGTTAAAAGTGGGCGAAATCGCTTGGGTCAGTGGACAATACGGAAAATTTTTGCCCTCCCTTACTACTATCAAAAGATATAAAAATGCTGGAAAAACTAAATTAAAAAATAATAATTAGAACTTCCTTATTTGTCATATTCAAAAAACATGTTTAAAAGAAAGATTGCTGCCCAAATAGATAGATATTAAGTCAGGATTCGTTAAATAATTTAGACATGCTCTGTATACTTATTCTCAATAGGATCCTTTCCTACTCACGAAAGCTTTTTGTGTGACGAGAGGAAAACTCTGTGTTGCTTCATACTGTATTTATTACCGAGTACTTTCGACATAGCATAATACCATCATCAGGGTATTGTTAATCATAGGATATGTATTCTAGTGCTCTTGGTTGTGGAAGACAAAATTTGTTGTATCATGCTGTAGCTAGTGAGCACCGATTAAGTGGGGGCAACTAGGTATTGTTATGGCAGATTTCCGAAGTGAGTAGTCGAAAAATAGAGGAAAAAACTATTAGTACGAACGCTAAAATTTAGCGACTACATATTGTACACATTTTAAAATGTTCGTAGAGTATTCATAATAAATTTTATTAAGGTTTGGTTTCAATTTTATGATATAAATAAGTTCAAGGATTGTTAGTTTGTGTTTATTCTTTTCTTGGAAAAGTATGGAGATGTTTTCAACTAGGATTGTTCTGAATTGAACGAGTATGCTGTTGTAAATGTTTAGAAATGTCGGAGGTATTATTCAAATGAAGACTTAGCCTACGTGAAAGTGGTGTTGTCGTGTGCCCAACATAGATGTTATTTTTATCGTTGGAGATCGTTGGACATTTAAATTTATAAACAATGTTGGTCTTTGCAACACGTTAATGAGCGAGAAAGAGTCGTTACGGGTGATTTTATTAGATATAGTTGATTTAGTGTAGTATATAATTAATTTTATTTTTTACTAGGATCTGAGGTGGATTATTGTTTTTCATTAATTTATTTTAGGATATTTTCGTCTTGTTTATAATCAGCATGCATTTGGTTGGGATATAGGAGGTTGATATCTTTAGGGTTAGTTGGGGGAGAATTATATTCTATTTGTTTAGTATCGAGTTCTCTGATGGAGCATTTTATTTGTTCATCGATAATATAGTTAGGGAAGTTATTATTGATGAGTGTTTGTTTTATATTTTTTAGTTTGCTGTAGAAAATCTATTTTGTGGATGAAGTAATTTTTGCACGGTCCATTCTTATAGTTAAGAATAGAGAAATTTTTACTGCTGGGTTTTTATATGGGTAGATAGTGAACTTATTGTCATTAGTGTTTATCAGAAATGTTGTTACTATTATTAAGATCATATGTAAACTTAAGGACAGTTGTCTTGGAATATATATATATATATATATATATATATATATATATATATATATATATATATATATATATTGTTTATATGTTATTTTAATAAGTACAGTTTATTTACTTAAATGATGCTTTTTAAATAAACCGTATTAATTACATTTACCGGCCTGAATGTTCGAGGAATTTTGTAGAAAATACTGTATGTGCTTCTCCGACAGGAATCGAACCTGTAACCCAAACGGTAACCTTCATTTCATCTGATGTCTATTAACCATTCAGCTACAAATTTCTCGTACATTCATACCGGTAAATGTAATTAACACTGTTTTATTTAAAAAAAAAAAAAAAAAAAAACAGAGCATTTACTTAAATAAATTGTTTTTATTAAGATAACGTACAAATTGAAAATATATTAAATAATTGTTGGACTTAAACCATTTCATGATATATATATATATATATATATATATATATATATATATATATATATATATATATATATATATATATATATATATATATATATATATATGTGTGTGTGTGTAAGCAAATGTAAATGGATATAGATCCGACAGAATGAAGAAAAATTTGGAAAAAACAAACCAAAAAATCCTTAAATGTAATTATATTTGATTTAAAATGAATGAAATAAGAACGTCTGACGTTTCGATTTAATAAACCTTGGACAAGACTTATTTTTAAATGTCCAATTCAGTTCAATTTGACAAAAATTGAACTGAATTGTTTTTTAATGAATATTGTCTTGAAGAAGGTTTATTAAACCGAAACGTCAGACGTCGACATTTCATTCATTTTAAACAACATAATTACATTTAAGGATTTTTGGGGTTTTTTTTTCCAAATTTTTCTTCATATATATATATATATATATATATATATATTAGAAATTATTAAAGATATCTTACAGGAATTCTCCGAGGTTTTTGTTCTGGACTCTACTTTGAGCAATGAGAATGTATAAATACTCTCCTAGACATGTTCGTCATTTTTTAATCATAGCTAAGAATCGGAAGCTTTTGAATGAGCAGATGTTTTCCCACAGTAGGTTGCCATTTCTTTCAGTTACCATCCAAGTCTATAGAACACGGTCTGTCCTGGTATTTACCCATAGCTGGGGGGAGAAGGAGAGGATTCATACCTTTTCCATTATTACGTAAGTGAACGTAATGGATTCAACTGGAATTCGAACTCGGCTCTCCGATTACTCAATCCGAGCCGCTATTCGTTACCGTGCCTCCACTTATTTAATCTACGGTGATATATATTGCTAGTTTTGCTGACTATGTCTAATGATATCTTATCTATTTCTTATTTAGTACTACTAGTTCCGTTTCAATGGATTTATTCAATATGTCCCTCTTTCCTTCTTTTGTTATAGTGAGAGTCACGCTTTACAAGACCCTGGGGCCACTCGAGCTAGAGTGTTACGTTATGTGGTCATTAGTGTGTACAGGTGAGATATATACGAATTAGCCTAGAATAGGTTAAGATTGAAGTGATAGGAGAAACATCTTGTTGGTGAGTCGATTTCACGAAGCAGTGGTTCGCGGGAAGAAACAGTTCATGTTGAATATGGAGGCCATGTTGGTGGTTTGCTTCTTTGTAACTGGTATGGCGTGTTCTTGCCGTGAAGGTTTGCCTTAGCGGGACAAGTGAATGTAGCTCGCCTGAGCACTTTCCGTGAAAGTAGCGATGGAGCAGCGAGAGGCTTGCCACATCTTGCTTGTGGAAGAGACGTTGAAGGGTGGAGAACAATTCATCACCTACAAGGACTCTGAGACAATTTTGAACTCTATCAAGGCTGGAGAGTGAGGTCTTGGCAGCTCCTGTCCAGATATGACAACAGTACTCCATTTTCAGTCTGATCTGGTTCTTGTAAAGGTAGACCATTTTTCTTCAGTCTCCACTTCGTCTGTGAAGTAATTGTCCAATATTCACAGCCGTATAAGAAGAATGCTATGTTCTTTCTATTAATACTTTGCTTAGCTTCTAGAAGGCTTCATTCACTATAAGTTACGTTTAGCAAATATAACAAAGACCGATTGCAAGTTTAACGTTACAGCGAATCACTTTCTTATAGATTTTTTCCTGTTTCTTCGTGTGTTTTATTATTGCGTTGCAACTAGAATGTGTGAAAGAATGTTTCTGTATGTCTACAGTCTTGAATGTATGTCTGTGTGTGTTTAGTTCTTGCTATTAATTCCTTCTAGTTTCCAACGAATAATGAAGTTCAGGTCTCAAAGGAGATCGAAAATGGCGGTTACCACCGAAACTATTTGGCACTTGGAGGATCCCAGCAGCGCTGGTGACTGGCTTGCGACGCCGTTATGAAGAAAGAATCTCAGTCTAGGGACGATGAAAAAGTAAGTTCATAAATCTGCCGTTGCACAAAGCTGTCAGTATGAAGCCTCCCCCAAGGAAGTCAACGCAGAATAGACCAAACGACGAGGACACAGGAATCGAAATATCAAGCTAGAAAGAAGAGCTTACAGAAAAAAAGGCAGCAAATATAAGGAAAAGTAAAAGAAAGGAAGAAAGGTGATAGAAAAGAAGGAAGATTTGAAGAAAAAAAACTGATAGAAAATTGAAGAATATTTTAAACCTGGAGTTGAAGTGAGTTTGGAGAAAAAGGAGGAAGTTTATTCTACTTTTATTTAACAAGCTTCATCAGAATGTGGTGATTGTGGCTCTCCACAACTTCCTTCGCCTTGTAACTCTAAACAACATTTAACTTATTACTATACCGCTATTTCCTCAGTCTGCCAGTCATTCAGTACATGTTCATTAGGTAAATTATTCACTAATTATTTTATTTTTATTTATTATTTATTTGTTTTTTTTGTACTAATGTATTCGATATATTTTGCTAGATACTGGGATCAAGATTAGCAGAAGAGAAAACAGAGGCATAAAAACGCAGTGAAAATTAAAGAAAGTTCTTTCTTTTGCGGGGTGGGAAAAGAGGTGGGAAATATGCAGTATTAAGAAGACTGAAAAGAAAGGAATAAGATTAAGAATTAAAAAGAGAGGAGAATTAAGACAAAAGAAGCATTCGAAAAAATGAAGGAGAACTAGGCGAAGAAAAGAAGGTAAAAGAAAAAAGGTGGATTGGCATTAGGTACAAAGAAGAAGGCGAAAACATGAAAAAGAATTAGGTGAAAAAAAACGTAAGAGAATAAAGATGCAGAGCATTGGGCTAAAAGAAGAAGGTGAAAGCAAGAAGAAGGCGATAATAGAAAAGAAGAATTAGAAGAAAAGGAGGTTATAGAGAAATGGGGGAGAAGCACTATAAAAAAAGAAGGCGAAGAAATGTAGAAGAATTATACCAAGATAAAAGCGTAGACTAATAAAGATGGAACAGCATTTGGTGAAAAGAAAAAGGCGAAAAAATGTAGAAGAATTATACGAAGATAAAAGCGTAGACGAATAAAGATGGAAAAGCATTTGGTGAAAAGAAAAAGGTGAAAAAATGTAGAAGAATTATACGAAGATAAGAGCGTAGACGAATAGAGATGGAGCAGCATTTGGTGGAAAGTAAAAGGCGAATACTGTAGGAGAATTATACCAAGATAAAAGCGTAGACTAATAAAGAAGCAGCAACATTTGTTTGAAAAGAAAAAGGCGAAAAAAATGTAGAATTATACCAAGATAAATATGTGTGTGTGTGTGTGTGTGTGTGTGTGTGTGTGTGTGTGTGTAAGGAAAAAGACAAATATCTTTACAGCAAACATTTCGTTTCTCGAGGAACTGAAAGTATTGGCATCTTCTCTTTTCTCCTCTTATTTATATTGTTTTTACAGATGCATTTATATATGACCATCGCTGACGCGTTTGATCAATGTATTTGGTTTTCTGAGAGAACTTCAAAAATAATGATTACTGCAGATGCGTCAAATTATATATATACGTATAGATATAGATATTACTCCAAACGTTGTAATTTAAGCTTACTTCTATAAATCTAAAGCAAAATGGTAACAAAATGAACATTTGCACTCAGACTAAGAAAGAAACCGCTGAATTTTCTTGGACACATAATGAGAAAGGAAGGCTTGAAGCACTTAACACTCACAGGGCAAATCGATAGGAAAGATGTAGGGGAAGGCAGCGGGTCAACTACCTGACGAGCTTGTACAAATAGCAAAACTGGGGGACAAGAGGCTTGACAGAGAAATAATGCTAACGCCCACGAGGGATAGGAAGTTGTTGAGAGCCATGATCTCCCACGACCTGAAGAGATATGGCACATAGGATAAAAAAATAAAATAAAATAAATATACTCTGATGATGAGGGTATCCTTTTATTCGTCTATCTATTGAACCAATCTAAACATTATTGGCCGCTTGAATTACAGTGTACAGCGTGGTCCGAAAGTCTTGTCATTTCCTATCAAAAAGTAACAATATAACAAGTGATAAAATAATACAAATCACATGAACAGTTTATTCACTTTCATTGAAGCTGTCACACATCGAGAAGGTCTGTATGAACACCATCATTTTCGCCACATAATATAATACAGTGCCATGTTCTGTGTGATATTTTACGAAGCTGTGATTTTTTTCATTGTTGCAAAGACTCTCCGAACGGTGTCTTTGAAATAATGGTTACTCTGGTATCCTTCATGTTAAAATCTCTCTTTTGATAATAGCCCACATATCGTTGAAATAGAAAATTATATCATGTAGGGGGTGATTAGACTTTCGGACCACCTTATACATTTTCTTAATAAAAAAAATCGACTCTGAGGTTGACACTTTTGTCGTACGAATACATTTATCAAATAACAAGATACTTTCTTTAGGCGCCCCGGTGTCGGGTATTAGTTAGCAGGATAATCTATTAATCATTAGTAGTGAGTTCGATTCTCACTGGATGCTTAATATACCTTCCTCTTGTGACCTTGTCCCAAGCTAGTCTCAGTAAATTGTGCTATGTTTTTACTCAGTAGTGAGTTCGATCCTTACAGGATGCTCGCTAATTTTAACCCTGTTTCAAGCTACGCTGAGTAATTTACAAAGTAGCGCCTCTTTGCTTAATAGTGACTTCGAACCTCACTGCGTGCACTTTACTTGTAACCTTGTTCTACTGAAGGATGCTGAGAATACCATGGACAGAGCATATAAGCAAAAATGAGATGTTAAGGAAAATGGAACCAAAACGGGGAATTTTACATCCTGGGAAGCATAATGAGGAAAGTGGGTTTCGAAAATTGAACACACGCAGGACATTGAAGGCAAGGGAGAAAAAGAAAAACAGTAATTAATCTACTTAAGAAGCTTGCGTTAATGGACAGTAGATTAAGTAGTCAGTGGATAGAAGAATGACAAACATAGAATACAGCTACAAAGGGTAGGATGTTGTGGAGAGTCGTGATCGTTCATGGCATGAAGGGATACGGCACACAGAAGAAGAAGAGGAAATGTGCTCACTCTGATAATGTGCGTTAACATGTGATCTACGAGCTACTCATATGAATCTGTATACACATTGCGTCATTTATTACTATCCAGGTATTACATACTGAGTAAAATTGAAATATATTCAGTGTTATAATTTTATTTTCCGTCAACGTATAATATCATGAATGCAGATATTTGCGCAATTCTTTTTCTCTATAAGCGCACGTTTAAGCCTTAATTAATGTGATACATAGATGGATTTGTTGGTTTAAACCAATACGAAGAAAAATATCAGTGCTATAATGAAATATGTGTCTGTACAAATGTTCAGAGTCCTTTATCTTACGGAGAAGCACAGCGAAAGGTCCACTAATAAATATGAATAACTTGAAATATATTCACATAAATATAGACACATACGAAGACCTACTAAGATGACACATACGATTGTTTTTTTCTTATACTTATCTCTTTTCACACTTCTTTCTACTTTTCTATCTATTTACCTATCAGTCTATCTATTTGTCACCCCTCTCTCTCTCTTTATCTATCTATCTATCTATATATATATATATATATATATATATATATATATATATATATCTAACTAACTCAACTCATGCCAACATATATGATTTTCCTTCATGCACCTTCTCTCTTTTCACACTCCTCTCTACTTTGCTATCTATTTATCTATCAATCTATTTCATTCCCCTCTCTCTCTCTCTCTCTTAGATCTATTTCACTTTCTTTCTTTCTCTATCTATCTATCTATCTATCACCTCTCTCTCTGTTTCTATATTTATTTCCCTTCCGATCTCTCTCTCTCTCTCTCTCTCTTTATCTCTTAATCTACCTATTTCTCTCCTCCCTTTCTGGTTCTTTCTCTCCCCTTCTATCTATCTATCTATCTATCTATCTATCTATCTATCTATCTATCTATCTCTACTCAAGACGATACATGATTCTCTTGCTTTTACTTTTCTTTTTCCTCCCTTCGTTCCTTCTCTTTCTCTGACTCACTCACTCTCTCTCTCTCTCTTAACCTATCACTTTCTTTTTACCTCCCCTATCTATTTATCTAGCTAGCTATATATATATATATATATATATATATATATATATATATATATATATATATATATATATATGTGTGTGTGTGTGTGTGTGTGTGTGTGTGTAAGAAGTGAACTGAGGTCGAGAATGAAATGTTCTTTCTCTTGGCCTAAGTCCCATATTGTGCGGTGTAATACTAGGGAATGTCCCTTAATTATCAGCGTCCGTTCACTTGCCAAGCGGGCCTCAATAGAGCCATCACCTTTGTCCCTGTCTGCAACACCAAGTGACCCCACTTTCGCTGACACCGCTCTCCTCGTGCACTGTGTTCACACTTCTTGCTCTCTGCTCAGTACAGATGTGCTTCCCACGTACCCCGCCTCCATTGGTGTCAGTTTAGCCGGACTCACTCGCCAGTGATCGATTCGTCGCGGCCAGCGCGTGATAGCCCAAGGTGTCCACTCAGCAGCGAAGATGAATAGGGTCTGTCCACCGCTGAACCTTACTTGTGACCATGTGTCATCTATTTATTGTTTGGATTTATCTGGTTATTTATCCACGTTCTATCAGTCAGTGGGAATATCGTACTTGGAAATTATAGCTACAGGTTTTCTTTCTGTCACAATTTGGTACGGTTTTCGTTCACACGTGAAATAAGCGTCTAAAATCAACTTCCGTTTTTAAGCAGCGGGTTTCAAACATCCTTAATGCCGCTAGACAATCGTACTTAGTCATAAGAAGGTGATAAGTGATCAATATCTGGATATGCTTGTATCGAAAACTAACTTTCAATGTTTCCACTTTTAAATACTAAGGTTCGAATAAGATTTTTGGCTCTGGTATAAAATAAACAACTATTTTTAAATACTGGGGTTTGAATAAGCCTTTTGGCTCTTGTATAAAATAAACAACTATTTTTAAATACATATCTTCTTCTTCTTCTTCTTCTTCTTCTTCTTCTTCTTCTCTTAAAAATTGCGGCTCCTACTGCTATTAAGCATTACTTTTCATGTAAAATTGAATTGAATTTTATGAGCCGCTGGCGTATTTCGTAAAAAGAAAGACGTCAAAATTCCCTATGGTCTAGAGGTAAGAAATCTGACCGATGTCAAATCAGTCAGGTTTCGAACTCGGCTTAATGCAATCGGACGTCTACCCACACTGAAGAGCTGTGATACAGCGAAACAGTCTATCTGTGGATGACTATATATGCTCCCTGAAATCCGGTTGAGCTCCCTTGGGAAAAGGTGGTTTAAAAAAAAAAAACAGCGGCTCCTAATGCTATTAAGCATTACTCTTCAAGTAAAATTGAATCGAGTTCTATGAGCCGCTAGCATATTTCGTATAGAGAAAGACGTTAAAATTCCACTTGAAGCAGTCGGAAGTCTAGCAGCACTGGGGAGCTGTCATACAGCGAAACAGTTTGTCTGTGGATGATATATATATATATATCATTATTTTTTTTTAAATTTATAACATAAATATGTTATAAAATCACTACAAAAATAGACATTTTGTTTCAACACCCTGATGTCTAATCAGATTATATACCAATATATATATATGTATATATATATATATATATATATATATATATATATATATATACAAGAGATAGAGATAGAGAGTAGACACATGAAAAAAATCAAGATTGAATTCAATCAATAAAAAAGACGGCACAGACATTTTGGTTATCTAATATCCTTACAATATTAAACGATTGAAATTTCTGAGCCACATATTTAAAGAGAAAAGGGTACCTGAAGAGCCTAGCACTCGCAAAACAAGGAAGAAGGCCGAAGATCTGATGAGGTTTTGTGAATGCATGCCAAAACAAAATCAAATAAAGATGCTATATTTATGAAAGTTACTTACATCAGAAACAGGAAAGAGCCGTGATTGTCTCCATCCTAAAGGAACTGGTTACGCAAAAGGAAAATAAAAGTTCTTTTGAAGATTATCTGCTCGAATGATGTGATACTGAA